AAACCCATTCGGACCAGAATGATAACTTTAAACCGGTTTGGGCGAAGGAGAGCTGGGAAAGAAGAGAGAGAGAGAAAAAACAGCCGTGGGAAAGAGAGGAGGAAACCCATCTTGGCTTCCACACACACACACACACACACACCCACCCACGGGCGCGCGTGTGTTCAGGGACGCAAGGAACAAGGTGGCCTCGTTCGCCCACCGCAGCGAAATCAAACGGGAGTCCCCGCGACACCTGAAGGGCTAGCCTGTATTCCAGCCCGGGCTCTCCTGACTCGGAGCTCCCCTCTTCAGGTTCGGAGGCTGGGATGGACCTCTGGCGTCTCCAAGGTGCCGCTGGACTCCTGCTTAAATTCACACGCGCAAGAAAACGCGGGCAGACCGCGGGGCTCTCGCCTTTCTGTCCCGAGCCGAAAGACCCTTTTGTGGGAGCATAAGATCTGCCCGGGAAGGGCGCCCTAACGCCCCGAGTTTGTCCTGGAGGCAACACCGAAGCCCCACCGAATTCAGCGGGATCTGCTGCTCCCAGGGAGAAACGGCTTCCGACGGCAATAGGAAGCCAGGTAGTCCCGTGGGTCCCAGGGGTGGTGGCCAGTCCAAAGGCCTTTAGAAGTCTGGCGGCTGGCCGAGATCTCACGGCTGCAGGCCCCTTCCTGGGTGAAGCCGGAGAGAGCTCCGGAGATCTTCCCTGGCAGCGCCCTGGCCGGCTCGGTTGCTTCTTCTGCGTCCTCCTAGTCTGCATTGGAGACGGCCCGACCTCTCTCTCCCTCTCCCTCTCCCTCCCTCATGCATTAACCATGAGACACGAGGATTAGAGTCAGCTCCACACATTTGCGATTCCACCTCTGCATCTGTCTCCCTCTCCCAGCCACGTTTCTTCCAACGGGTCTCTGTCTGCAGTTTAGGCCGGGTCCTGGGGGGAGGGGGGACGGGGCCAGCTCAAGTTCAAGTTCATTGGCAGCCGGGGGAGGGGAGGGAGGGAGAACAGCCCCTCTCCCCCACGCCCTTCCCGGGGACCCGACTGGAAGAGAAGGCCGCCTGCGACAGCCAGCCCGCCTGCGACAGCCAGCCCGCAGGGAGCTCTCTCGGGCCACTCGGCTGAGAGCCCCGCGGAGGCTGAGGCAGAGCCGGACCGCCCCGTCGAAGCGCGGCCTTCTCTTCCTCCCAGCTGGAAGGCGCTGCCCTAATGCCTGCGGGGCGAGGCGGCGCCTCTAGGCCGGTCTGGCTTGGGGTAAATTGGAGGGGAAGGAGGCCTGGCGGGCCCGGGCTGCCTTCCGGGGAAGAGTAGGGAGTCCCCGGTGGGGACGGGGAGGGGTGTCTTCAAATCTGGCCGAACTCATCCGTGGAGTGCCTTTGGCTTCAAGACGCTGCTGCAGCCGGAGCCCCCAGGTCAGCCTGGACTCCCCTTCCCCCCTCCAGGCCCGCCTCGGGACACGTTTCCCCCCTTTCCCCTGGTCGGAGGAAGAAGCGAGTGAAAGGGGAAGGTGGGGGGGTCGCCTGGCAGAAGCCACCCCGCCGGGAAGGCCTCATAGCCCCCCCCACCCCCGCTCAAACCTTCGCCTTGGGCTTCGAGCCAGCCTGAGTTGGGAGGCGGCGGTGGCAGGGAGAAAGCGAAGAAGAGGCCAGAAGACACCGAGACTGGCGCGGGGGTTTGGAAGGAGGCCCCCCCGGCCCTCCGCCACTCCGCCGCCCTCCTCATCACAGCCGAGGTCCCCCCACCGGACTCCTTCCTTCGGCTTCTCTCCCCCCCCCTCTCCCTGGCACCGGCCTCCCGTGCTAATTGTTTTAATAAAAATCGGCGTGGTGGCGGTGGTGGTTTCCTTTCTTTCAGTTTTTTTAAACCCTGCCTAATATTATTAAGGGAGGAAAATGAGATTTTAACAGCCATTTGATTACTTCGGGGTTTTTTACATGATGCAGTGAGAAAGGGCGGGAGGGAGGGGGGCAAGGAGCCCTCCGAAGAGGGCAGGGGGTTCCGCCGGCCAGATCGGGCGGTTGCTTCGGATTTGCAGCGACAAACCCTGGAGGGGGGGTGGTACCCCCCAACCAATGCTCCCTCTAAGCTGTGTTGTGAGCAAAACTTCTACTTTGGGAGCTTCTGGCGTGAAAGCGGTGAGCGAGTGGTTTGGCTGCTGCATCAGTTAGTTTGCTTCCTGAGCCGAGACAAAACCGTGTGAGCCGGAGGCTAAAAGACTGTCAGTTACATCGCACTAACTCAGCTTAGAAGGGAACACGGCCCCCAGCCCCGGTTCCTTAACCTGCTTGCAGGCATGGGCTGTGTGTCCAGGATAGGGGGTGAGGTGGGGGGAGCTTCCCACCAGCCCAGCCCGACTCCAATGCCTGTCTCTTCGGGAGTAAGCGCCACTGGATTCAAGGGGACTTCCTGCCAAGTGAGGGTGCCCAGGATTGCGGCCCAGGGAGGGGCTTGGATGAGTTGCAAAGACGGAGAGGCCCGAGGATATCTCTCTCTCTTTTTTGGGGGGGGGAGGGGGCTAACCCGCCTGTGGGGCTTTTCTTAGGACGCCCTTCCTTGGGGCTCGGGGAGAGGAGGGCTCCGGAAGACTTGTCCCGAGCACTTTGCCTTCCCGCGCACCGCCTGGATTTCGGGTTCCAGCCCCGAGGGATCCGGACGGTTCGCACTCCAGGCAAACCCCGCAGCCCAGCGCAGATTCCGGGGCCCTTTCGTCTTTGTCTCGTTTGTTCTTCCAGATACAGAAGCATCCCCCCCCCCCCGCACACGCACACCCACCCACCCAGGTACAATATCAATTTATATTTCCAACCACTTGACGACACCTTCTGAAATGCCAAACTTGGGCATTCGAGTCTTAACGAGACCATTAGGCACCCAGTTCCGTCGCCCCCGAAAACTCTCCTTTCAAAGTAAAGCCACGAGGCCAAGAGTGCATTCTATCCCCCCCACCCAAAAAAACCCCCACACACCAAGCAGACCCAAAATGTAGCTTATCCGAATTCTGCATGAGTTGCATTTCCACCCCCCACCCCCCAGTTTAGAGAATTAACAACTGGTTAAAAGAAATGACTCTACATTAAACGGTGGGGGATTGTCTCCAAACTTTGCAAGCTCTCCAGCTGCCGGAGGGCAGCTAGAATCTACTCCTCGAGAATATAAACTAGCCATCCTTCCAACCGGCCCGACGTCTACAAAATAATTCATTTTAATGGGAAGCAATTCCACCCCTCTATCGCTGCAAAGAAACCTCTTTTCGAGAGAGAAACACAATCTGAGCGCAGGCGGGGAGTGACTCGGAGGGAGAAGGACAGCTCTGAAAGCCGAGAATCTGTAGGAGAGGCCAGAAATGGCTGAACCGAATCTCGCCTAGTAAAAACGGAAGGAGTATCAGGCGAAGGCCCTTCGATTTCGGCTGGAGAGACCGAAACAGGCGCTGAACTCTTCCGGTGGAACCAACCGAATAGCTCTTGGTTTCGGTTGGATTTACTAGGCCCTCTTGGTCTTTAAAAAAATAAATAAATTAAAAAGACGTTGCAACCAGACATGGCGTTGAAATATTAGGCATTTGGGGTGAAAACGTTTTGACTCAAAGAAGTGAAATGCACTTGAGCCTTGGAGGGGTTGTTATTTGCACAAGCAGGTGGTTTTCCTTGTCTATCTAAAAGGAAATCTGGGATATCTTTTTTTTGGGGGGGGGGGCAGGCCTAACCCAGGTCACGCAAACCTTGATTTTATTTTATTTTTAGAGACCAGGGGAAAAAAGAGGTTCAGCGACTGCAGTTTCAACACATTTTATTATATTTCTGTATGCATTACTCTGGGGGGGGGAAACCATATCACAAGAAATGATGAAACCACATCAACCTTCAAATTAAAAAAAATCTGAAACAGTTTTATGCTCACAATTGTACATATTTATAGTTAAGAAACATTCTTTATAAATACTGTTTCCTCTGTAGCAAGTTAATACCATAATTTAATTACAAATGGATAAATATGTCAACAGGTATTTACAAAAGGAAGGGTGTTATTAAAGGGGGGGAAATATCCTAACGGCACTACGCATATTTCCCCCCCATCCCGACCACCTTCCAAACAAGAACTAACAAATCGAACTGGCAAAAGCACTAAAACATCACATGTAAACCCAGCTAACAGGGGGCAAAAAATACATTCACAAGCGTTGGAAGAGAAGGAAGAATTGATCTTGGTGGTGTTTCGAAGAACAGCATAGAGACTTTGGCACCTTAAAATTTTTTTTTTGTTTTTTTTATAAATCTTTCCAGTCTATAGTTGAATGAAGTTTACAATCAAAGTTGCCTCTTTTTCAAAAGAAACACGATATTCAATACCACAATTACAAAAGAAACCATTTGATTCCACGTTACTTCTCCCCCCCTTCCCCCCCCCCGGTGAATTAAAGAGAGAAAGATAAAAGAATTGGAGAGGGGGAGGAGGAGGAGGAGGAGGAGGAAGAGAGCGAAAGAGGGGAGCGCATCACTTTGGAGAGAGGAAGTCAAACTTCCCTCCCAGGGCAAAAAAAAAAAACCCCAAAGGGAGCCGGGCGGGGGGGGGGGAGAACCAATCCATCGTTCACGAAGTGGACCAATTTCTATACAACAAGAAATCCAAGAAAAGGTTTGATTTCCCACCTTGGAGGGAGGAGGGAGGGCAGCTGTCCTCCGTATGTACAGGGACTTTCCGTGGGCCGGGAGGCGGCAGAGGCGGACCGAGCCGGAGGACTGGTCGTCGGGCCGTCAGATCTTTTGTTCCCAAGGCGAGGGAGGCAGGCGGAGGAGGAAGGCTGGGTGTGTGTGTGTGTGTGTGTGTCTCCGCAGCCTCTTCGGCCAGGCTCTGGAGGCCGGGACGGCGTGCCCGGCTTCCCTGATGTCATGAAGTCAGACAAGCAGCGCCTGAAGGGGGCCCTTTGTTGGCCGCTCCACAGTCCGCCGCCTCTGCCTGCGAGGAGCGCCTGTTGGAGGGGGGCCTGCCGGGGTCCGGCGGGCCAGAGTCGAAGCCCCGGCTCTCAGGGACCGGCCCCCCCCACGCCGCCGCCGCCTCCTCCTCCTCCGCTGCCGCCACCGGTCCCACCGTTGCCCCCGGCCCCGCCGCTGACGCTCCGGTGCACCGCCGACACTGCCGCCGCCGCTGCAGCCGCCGGAGACAAGTTAGTGGCCGCCGCGCTCTGGTTCTCGGCGCTGGGCGACACCAAGCCCGGCGGGGTGGAGGACTCGTAGCCGGAGCTGGCGGCCGGGGACGACTCGGAGCCTTGCGGGGAAGACTCGTGGACCTGGCGGGAGGGAGGCAAGAGACGGCCGGGTCAGCCTGGAGCCACCCCACCGCCGAGGGCCAAGAAAGACAGGCGCCTGCCCTACTCCTCCCTGCCCTCCTTCCGGGCCTCAGCCCCCACCCACACCCCACCCCAGGCATCAAAAGGATCTTTTTTGGGGGGTGTCCTGGCACCCCTCCCCTGAGCTAAAATCTTGCGGACAGGGAGAAGAAAATTACTTGGATGAAATCCTTGGCACCGAAGGACAGATCCGAGCGCCGGAGCGCAGCCCCCGAAGGCGGATTCCCGCCGCCTCCCCTCCCCCGGGCTCCCCAGGCTTACTCGTAAGCAAGCCTCACCGATTTCAGTGGGACTTACTTCCGAGCAAGTCTGCCGCCGGTGGCACAGAGGCGTGGTCCTCTCGGTGCCCGGCAGGCCTCTCTTCCCTCCCCAAGGCCCGTGCCCGGCTTCCCGGTGCTCCAGATTACCTTCATGTGTTTCCGCAGGGAGCTGGGGTGCGTGTAGGACTTGTCGCACATCTTGCACAGGTAGGGCTTGTCCGAGGTGTGGACGTGCATGTGTTTCTTGCGGTCGCTGCTGTTGGCGAAGCGTCGGTCGCAGCCTTCGAATTCGCACTGGAAAGGCTTCTCGCCTGCAGGGGGGGGGGCAGAAAGAGAGAGAAAAGCAACGCGGTGTAAGAAAGGCTGTAAACGAGTCTCCCGGCCGACTCCGAGCCGAACCGAGCAACTTTCCCCAGGAATTAAAATTAAAAAGGACGTCGAGAAGACTGGCACAGCCCCGGTGGCTTGCGAAGGCGCGCTCACAAGCCATTTCAGACACATGTCAATTTCACTGGCGTCCGATTTTCTTTAGCAATCCCCCCGGATTTCAGTGGAACAACTTGCTTCCCAGAAAGCGGAGCTCACTCTGGAACGCGCACAGGGCGAAATCAGTTGCACTGAAATGAGTGGGCCTTATTTACTCGTTTATTTTAAAGAAGAAGAAAAAGAAGAAGCCACAACAAACTGTTTAGGGTCGATCTTAGTGCCAGGATCCCAGCTAGGACCGCACAAAGGGGGATTTTCACACCGGTTTTTGGAACTGCAGATTTGGATGGAGAGGGAAGACGTACTGGGAGAGATGACCAGAAGGTTTAAAAAAAAAAAAACCTTCTGGAGGCTTCTTTAAAAGCCTCTTTCCCGAAGGAGTCCCAGAAAGAGGGTCTGCCTTTTTTGACGGTAACGCCTCCCCTATTTGGTTCAAGGCATTTCCCTTTCCTTTTGTTTCCAGGGGTGTTTTGGAAAGGAAATGTCAACCATGGGCAGAGAGCCCCGAAGCTTCCCCGATCCGCCTCCCAAACAACCACCACCACAGCATCCATCGCTGCTAAACTTCACCCTTAAAGTCTCCAGTGCCTCTGTATATATATATATATTTCTCTCCCTCCCCCTTTCCCGCAAGGACTTTGGAAGTCAACCGGCAGATATCCGCCGTGGGGAGGGGAGGGGAGAGAAAGAGAGAGTCGTCCGTCCCCGAAACCGGTCCCTTGGAATCCGCTGAGCGCTTCTTCGACCCGCTGCCAGGTTTCCGAGTAATTTGAAGGTGTGAGAACTCCACTGCCCCCCCCCCCGCCCAGATCTTCCTCCTCCCTCCCCCTTCCAGAAATCGGAGGTGGGAGAGACGAGCAGCAGTTTCCACGTGAAATTCCATTAGCACCTAAATTGTTTCTTCGAAGCATCCGCTCCGAGCCGCCCCCCCCACCTCCAAAAGCGGCCCTCTCCATGCAAATCGACGTCTCGCATTTTTAAACCTTGTTAAAGCCCGTCTCGCACCTCGGCCCGTTCGCAACACTGCGGCCCGGGGGTGGGGTTTGCTTCTTTCTTTCTTTCTCTTAGTAAATATTGATGCCCGGAATTCGCCCCGCTCTCTGGCTGTCTTTTTTTTTTTACCCCGGGGTGGCCGGAGGGAAGCTCAAATCTGGCTGCGAAGCAAGACGGCAGGAGGCGACGGCAGGAGGCCGGCCAGGGGGGGCTTTGGTTCGGCTCTCCCTCCTCCCAGGCCTTCCAGCCAGCCAGCGCCGCGGACGAGCGACTCTTTTCTCGCCCGTTGGGAAGGGGAAGGGGAAAGGGGGGGGGAGGAAAGGAAATCTCGCCCCTGAGAAGTTTTTCGGCCTTCAAAGCCCCTGCCGGTTATGGCCTAATTTTAATGGCGCAAAACCACATTCAGTTGCCCCAACTGAGACTTTCAGGACACTTTTGGAAACGAAACAATTATTATTTGTTAACGGCCCGGCCTCACCGCGTTTAATTTGAATGGAAAGCAGCCGGTCCAAAGTGGGGGGGGGGCAGGGACTGGGCGTCCTGCCCCTCCGCGCTGGCCTTCTAGAGCAGTTCCTCCCCGCCAAAAAAAAGAGACATTTCTTTGCCACAGAGCGTAGAATCCACCTCCGCCTTACAGTCCTTTCACGCGTTTCCAAACGGCTGAGGCGCGGCTGGCTTTGTTTCGCCAGGTTTCCCCAAAAACACAGTGTTTGTCCTACGTGGAGGCAAAACCGGTGGATTTCAAAAGAAGCCACCTCCAAGCCGAGGTGCGGGGAGGGGGGGGGGGTGAGGGGGTATTGACCGGGCCATAAATCCCTCTGAAAGCAACCGGCCTCCCTTCGAAGAGATGGGTGGGGTTTGTTTTGCGGGTTTCCGCGCGAAAAGGCGCATTTCGGGTTTCGCTCTGGGCTCCGGACTGTACAGTTCCCTCTCGAGGCTCCCGGGCATCCTGCGTGTTTCTTCCCAGCGCGGCTCCGGGCTCCGAAGAGGAGTCCTTCGGCAATCTTTCCCCTCCCTCGGCCGCCGGAACCCCGCTGGTGAGCCCGGGCCCCGGTGCAGCAAGACTGCGAGCCCCGCTCAGGCTCCGGAGCACGGCTCGGTGGCTAGAAAACGTCCTTTCGGCCGGCGCTTCCAGCACCCACAGAGCTCCACGAAGGGGAGCGGGTGGGGGCCGAGGGACGGCCTCCTTCGGGCCGGCTGGATGGAGGGCCTGCGCGCGCAAGGGCGGATCTGCCGGCTTTGTTTTGGTTCGCCAGGCAGCGGCGTCCCCCAAATTCCGCCTCCCGCCCTCCCCCCGTCCTTCCCTCCCTCCCTCCCCGCCCGCCCGGCCTGTGCCCGGCGCGGACTGACCTGTGTGCGTCCGCTTGTGGATCTTGAGGTTCTCGGAGCGGGCGAAGACCTTGCCGCAGCCGGGGAAGGGGCAGGGGAAGGGCTTCTCGCCGGTGTGGACGCGGATGTGGTTGACCAGCTTGTACTTGGCCTTGAAGGGCTTCCCCTCGCGGGGGCACTCCTCCCAGAAGCAGATGTGGTTGCTCTGCTCGGGCCCGCCGACGTGCTCGACGGAGACGTGGGTGACCAGCTCGTGCATGGTGCTGAAAGTTTTGTTGCAGCTCTTCTTGGGGCTGCTGAGCTGCTCGGGGTCGATCCACTTGCAGATGAGCTCCTGCTTGATGCACTGCTGGCGCATGTAGCGGAAGAAGGCGCCCGGGTGGTGGTGGTGGTGGTGGTGGTGGGCGTGGTGCGGGTGGTGGGCATGGTGCGGGTGGTGGGCATGGTGGGCCGCCGCCGCCGCCGCCATGTTCATGCCCATGTTCATGGGCCCGTACTGGCCGTGGAGCTGGGCCGCGGCGTAGGGGTCCGTCCTGGGGCTGGACACCTGGCGGTACTGGTCCGAGCGGCCGAAGACCTCCCCCGGCAGGCCCAGGCGCATCTGCCCGTTGAGCACGTTGGGCGAGCCGGGCGCGCCGTGCTGCTCGCCGATGCCCGGGAAGAGGAGGTGGCCCTGCGCCTCGGCGTGCGGGTGGTGGAGGCTGCCGGTGGCCGCCGCGGCCGCCGCGCCGAAGAGTCCGTGCTGCCCGCC